GCAGAGCAATTCGTTGTCATTGCGGCAGTACTCGATGATGCGGCTGGATGGATGGTGGATGCAGATCTTCTCGTCCTGTTCCTCGGCGCTGGTGTCCACAAAGACGTGGTCTTGCATGGCCACATCCGAGTGGAAGGCCTTGAGGCAGTCGTTGCACAGGTTGAGGCGGCAGGTGATGCAGCGCTTGTACGCTATGCGCCTATTGCGGCAGACCTGGCAGAGGATGGGCCCGGAGGAACGGTCAAAGCGCCACTTGAGGTAGCCGTGCTGCTGCATGTAGCGCTTGGTGAGGCGCCCGCGCAGGTAGTTCTCCGGCAGCTGCATCTTGTGGCTGTAGGGCATGCAGTGCGAGCGGTCGCACACTGGGCAGATGAGGATGAAGAAATTCTCGGTGACCTCGGCGTGCTTCTGCAGCTGCCGCAGGCACTTCTCACACAGGCTGTGGTTGCAGGGCAGCATGAATGAGTGCAGGCGCAGCCGGCTGCACATGGGGCAATTGAGGTGGTTCACCAGGTGGCTTTTGGCTGGTACTGATTTCACTTCATCCAGCTGGGTATCGCTGCTCCCAATGCGCAGGGCAGTCTTGGAGCTGAAAGGAGAAGCAAAGGCAGGGTTTCAGGAGGCAGGCTCAAGAGCTTGCTCTGCCTCTCTACCTCTGAAAGAACTCTTGGTTTCTGAGGGGCAGTCTAGGGTGGTGGTGAGGAGCCTCAGCTGAGTGCCAAGGTGCCTGCGTTCTCAACCTGTCTCCACCATTTTTCAGCGGGGTGACCTCAGGTAAGCCAGTTAACCTCTCGGCCTATTTCCTTGTTATAAAATTAGTACCCATGTCAGAGTTTCTTGAGAAGATTAAAATTGAGTTTAATGCTTGTACGGACTAAGAGCAGTCCATGGTACACAGTCAGTGTGCTGCAACTGCTTGCTGTTATTAAGCAAGGGAAAAGCCGCAGAGACTGGTCAGGCGTCAGCTAGGCCTTGGTGTTCCGTTGGACATCGGTAATATCAAAGAACACAGTATCAGACAAGGCTACTCTGTGACTTTGGATCAAAGCAGAAACAAGGCCACTTTATAATGTTTGGACTCAGACACGAACGTTGTCTAAATCACGAAAATGACCCAACATCCCCCTATCCTGGTTGATTTTTTTAAACCAAAAAACTGTTTTTTTTTTTTTTCTTTTTTCTTTTTTTTCCAGCAGCTTTTGGGTCACTCTGTTCTTCCCACCTTCTAGATAAGATTTATTAAAATATTCAATAGATTTACTCCCGTGTCCTCACCTAACATGAGCTCAAATCCTGTAATAACTTTTCAAGGTACTTTACACTTTCCCATGCTTTATATTCTCACTTGTTGCAATGAGTCAATAAATACAATCTTGTCCAACTACAGGTGTGTTCTTAGGGCTTTTTTTTTTCCCCTGGAGGACATTGACATTATTTATTGTACATAGATGGAACACAGAGCAAGTCTGTACCTGAGCCAAGCCTAGAACCTGTGTGGTCTGCCAACCAGACCAATAGGTAATGGTAATGGATCTGGGCTTTAGAGGCAGAGCGTGTGTGATAAAAATGCACCACTTTACAGTTGTACCTTCTGAGATGTTTTTTTAAACCTCTCTCATGTTCAGTTTTCTTAACTATAAATCAAACCTCACCATACTACTTGCTTTGTGAGGTTTTTATAAAGTCTAAATGAGATAATCCATGTAAGTGCTTAACTGCTGGTACATAGTAAGCATTCAGTAAATGTGGCCACTGTAATTACATCCCTTTGCTACTAGCCAGCTAATGTCTGTAGTAGAGAGAAATCACAGTAAAGGAAAATAGTGGCCAAGTCTGTGAAAAGTATGTGCTTCTACTGTTTCATTTGTGTGTGTTAAAGCTCTCCATTTGTCTAATGCCTGAGGCTGATTTCATACATTTAATCGTAAGAACTATGGAGTAAAAGCATACTTGTAAAATTCAAGTGCCTGTTCTAAGAACTTACAATCAGCAAATGCAGTGTATAAAAATAAATGAATTAGCTGTGGGAATGGAGGTGTAAATAGGCACACAATTTGCCGCTATTGCTCTCTCCTCTGTTTGCATAATAGTATTTGGATACTAATCTTGACATTGTGGCTGTGTTTCTTTCTACTTTTGTCTTCTTGCATTCCTTATGTGTCCCTGTCTTCCCCACTCCCTATGTCTGAGTCCAGACAGTCACAGGTGCTTCCCAAGTATATTGGAATGGAGTGGCCCTGTGGTGACAGAGAATGCTTCCTGTGTGGATTAAGGCACCTGGAAAATTTGTCCCTTAGGGATCTGGGAACTCCAGGCATGCTGGCCTCGATGTTCTCAGCTCTGTTTCCTCTCTGCTTTCCCAGATTCCTGCATGGGTCCTTAAGGGATCACCTGGAGGTACAGGTCAATTGTCCATGTAGTGCCCAGATGGACTTTAGTTTGCTAAAAAAGTAAGGACTGGAGGTATAATATAAAGAGAGACTGTTATGAGGCCTTCACAGCAGGTATCTCTACTAGGAAGCTCATGAGCTAGCATTTTCACAAAAAAGAAAGAAGAAGGGGGGAGGGAGGTGTTGGAGGACGAGAAAGAGGTCTCAGGGCTAAGAGACAGGTATTAATGGCCTAGGTAGCTGTGTTAGAGGTGAAAAAGGAAGTGGGAAAAAGACTAAGATGGAGAGGGATGCATGAGACCAGAGTGAGGCAGGACAAGCAAGGTGCTGAACAGAAAGTGGTGATGAGAAACAGGGGAGGCAGAGGGTCAGAAGCCAGGAGAGAGGCTAGATTGAAGAAAAGCACCCACAGCTGACCTCCTAACACTTGTGGTAGCATCCCTGCCCATCCTCCAAAAGCCTTAGGCTCGGATGGGGCATTCAGTGGCCATGGTTCCATTTCAAAACAGTCATCAAGCCCAGCGCTTTTATCTTCTTGCTGAGATATCCTGTCTCTGCTCCTCTGCACAGCCCCCTCTCTCCCAAAATCAGGCCTGTTCTTGCACCTGGATTCTTGCTGGATCACCTGTCAAATCTCCTGGCTTCCCTCCTAGCCCCCTGCAGGCCGTTCTACACATTAGAATCACCTGAAGGCGGGGGTTGATTCTAATTAATTCAGATGCTCAGGTGGTACCCCAGACCAATAAAATCAATGTTTTGGGGGTGGGGATCAGGCATCAGTAATTTTAAAAGATCCCCAGGTGACTTCAATGCACAATAACGTTGGGGAGCTACTGAGCCTAAGGCATTTTCCTAAAGCACCAATTTTATCCCTTTCCTGTTGAAATGGGCTCAGAGGTTCAGCTGCTGCTGCACAGAAAATGAGGTAGTTAAGAGAGGAGTGTGGACACTATTTTCCATGCTTTAGGATTTCTAGACTTGCATCGAGAATCCCTAGATTTCCTATTTATGCAAACACTATGAGAGGGTCATGGGTGGAGAGTTATGTTTGTTAAGCATCTACTAAATGTTTAATTGCAAGATGGATAATATCTTTCCCCTGAATTCACCAAACCTTTGCTTACAGAATTGCTTTTCCAGGCTTGAAAGCCTTCTAACTGCCTTCTATTTTTCTGCCTCTTCTAATCCTGTCATCTTATGGTGATGTCATCTTTCCCCTTCTAAGAAGTGTGCTCTTACTACTTCAGACTCCCCTCATCTGTGACGTAAAAAGACTGGTTTGGTAGAGCAGGTGAGGATAATGTAGGACCTAATATGGAGGGTTAGTACTCCAAATGCGTAATTGAGACCCTGAGTACTATGACTTCTGGATGGGAAAAACAAGGTAGTAGGAGTTCATGGATGTATGGGGTATTTATATGATCCTCAGGGTCAAAAGTGCCCTGTAGAAATTCTTACTTTTCCATTAAATGTTGCAGGTATTAAGAGTTCATAGGAAGAGAAAGAGCAGTTTATATTTTTATATCACATACAGATTACAAAGCATGTACATTAATCCTTATATCTACAATATCATGGGAAGGGGGTATTGTCTCCATTTTGCAATATAGCATTTTAAAGTTAAGATCCCAAATTTTAGGTTCCAATCCTGACTGCATCTTTCCAGCTGTGTGATCCTGGGACAACTTTACTTCTCAAAGGCTCAGTTTCCTCATGGAAACAGTGGACTTAGGGTGAGGGGTTAGCTGGGGTCATGCATGAAGTTCCTGGCAAGTTGCTTAAGCACTAACTATTAGCTATTACTATTTTGTACAGATGAGAGAGTTGGGGTTCAGAGGAGTGAAGTGCTCATTTTCATAGTTAATGGTGCTTAGATTTGGAACTCATGGTCTACATACATAGTGACCATTTAGGATACAGTTAATTGCTACAAAATTCTTAGCTCCTTCTTAGATAAAGAAATGAACTCAGAGGCGCACTGGCCTGCCCTGTGGACTTCACAGCTGGCAAGTGGTCCCTAGTTTTCATGAGCCAATGTGGCCCCACATCCAGTGTCTGACACTTACGAGATATGGACGCTCCTGAGGCGGCCCTTGTGGAAAGTGACGATGGTATTGCGGCAGCAGCGACTCTCATAGTAGTAGCACCTAACATTGCTGCTGGCTGTGCAGCAGCACTTACAGTTGGGATCATTGGCCCAAGAGCAGCAACACCAATGGCAGTTGGGGCTCTCAGAACAGGTGCAGTGGCAGAACTGGCAGTTCCGCTCATCTTTGTAAGGGCAGGGGAAGCAGGTGCAGTTCCGCTCTGAGGTGAAGATGAACTTGCAGCACAGACAGGAGCATAACTGAGGACAGCATCTCTGCCATGTACAACATGGACAGCAAACGCACATAGCAGTTTCCATGGCGCCTACATGATTACCGCTGGCCTCCTAGGGCTCTTGATGCCTCCTCTACCAGAATACTGCTATCAGTTCTCCAGTGGAGGAGTCCTTCCTCCCCTGCGTGAGGCCGTCAGCTTGAGAGTTGCAAGAAGTTGGCTGTTATGAGGCCTTCACAGCTGGTGTCCCTACCAGGAAGCTCGTAGGCTGGCATTTACATATATCAGTCTGAGGGTATTTGCTTATGTCACAATCCCTGTGTCTCTACCATGCTGGGTGGGTAGGAGGATGCGGCCTTGTGGGTGGTAGCAGGTATGTTGGTGAACACTCCATGCTTCTATGGAACCAGCTGTAGAGGAGTGGTGATGCAATGAGCATCCTGGAAGTTTAGTTGTCATTTGTCACCTTTTGGATAATGGAGTAGATTTCTGAAGTTATTTCTCCTTGTTTGGTGTTCTGCCTGCGATTTGGGCAAGTGGACTTCAGATTATGTCTTCGTAGACTGAAAGACTTGGGTATGGTTAATTAGAAAAGTAGATTCACATGTTTTTCCACGTTAGCGGAATTGATAGAATTCTATTTGAACGAAGGACAGTGTTTACAAATATTACCAATGCCATGTTTAAAGAGATATCACCATTCAGAGAGAGAGTTAAAGAAAAAATATATACAGGTTCACTTAGGAACTTCTTTCAGTAGTAATTGATTTTTATCAATGCATAGTCACTGCTCATTTTCATGAAGCTTTATACATAAGTCACTCTGAATATTTCTTTGCTTTTTTGTAGCTTCATGGTGTTTGGGTGAGGTTCAGGCTTTCTGTCTTTTCCCATCCTACTCCCACTCCAAAAAGAGGCTGGAACTCTACGTGAAATCTTTAACTGTTCTGCTAGTATACGCTCAGTATCCCTAGAAAAAAGACCCTATATTTTAGGGAAGAATTTCGCTTTCCCATTTATGCAACTTGCAAAGATTAAAAGAACAGAAATTTCATGGTCATGGTACATTAGAGTATGAATACTGTCTTATTTTTATAAAAAGCAGAAGTGAGAGCTGAGTTTGGCTGCAGAAATTTACTGCATAATTTATTATCTCTCCCTATAGTTATCACCTTTATAATAGGAGAGAAAATCACTGAGTGCCAACTATGCCAGCCACACATCGATACTAGATTTCTACAAGTGAAAATCCTGGATCATAGGGTATGTGCTTTATCTGTCTTTTTTTTAATGCAAAACGCTCAGTTTCTTACTCAAATGTGCCAGTTAATACCAGCAAGGAATATAAGACATTCAAAAAAGTGAAACACCTTTTCCCCACATGTTTGCCAAAACTCAGTTTTATCAATATCTCTCTCCGTTCTCCAGGCACACAGGTTAGAGTTTCATTCCCAGATTTATGATACATTTTCACGATTGCCTTCTGTAAGGTCTTATTAAAAACTTATTAATATGTAATTCGCTCACCATTAAATTCACCATTTTAGAGTAAACACATAAATGGTTTTCAGTATATTCATAAAATTGTGCAACTCTCACCATTATCTAATTCCAAAATCTTTTCATCACCCCCGTAAAACACTCATTAGCAGTGTCTCCCTGTTTCTCCTTTCCCCCAGCCCTTAGCAAATACTCTACTTTTCTGTATTTATGGATTTGTCTATTCTGGAAATTTCATATAAATGCTATCATATAACATGTGGCTTTTGTGTCTGGCTTTAATTTAGCATAATGTTTTCAAGGTTTATCCATGTTATAGCATGTATCAGTATTTAGTTTTTTATGGCTGAATAATTTCGTGTGGATATACCACATTGTATTCATTGTCGGTTAATGGACATTTAGATTGTTTTCACCGTTTAGCTGTTAAATGTTTGAATGTTTCTGTGAGCATTTCTGTATACATTTTTGTAGAAATATGTTTCCAGTTCTTTTGGGTAGGTTCCTAGGTGTGGAATCCTATGGTAACCCTATGTTTAACTTTTTGTGGAAATGCCAAGCTGTTTTCAAAGTGACTGCACAATTTTACATTCCCACCAGCAATGTATGAGAATTACCATTTCTCCACATCTTTTCCCAAACTTCTTGTCTTTTTTTTTTTTCTTCTGATTATAGCTATTATAGTAGTTATAAAGTGGGATCTCATTGTGATTTACATTTGGATTTCCCTGATGGCTAGTGATGTTGAGAATCTTTTCATGTCCTTATAGGCCATTTGTATGCCTTCTTTAGAGAAATGTCTCTTTAAATCTTTTGCCCATTCTAAAATGGAGTTAATATCCTTTCATTGTTGAGTTGTCAGAGCTCTTTGTATTAGCTAGATACTAGACCCTAACCAGGTATGATTTGCATCTATTTTCTCCATTCTGTGGTTGTCTTTACATTTTTAAATGGTGTCCTTTGAAGCACAAAAGATTTTAATTTCGATGAAGTCAAATTTATCTCTATATTTTTTTGTAGCTTGCCCATTTGGTGTCATTTAAGAAACCACTGCCTAATCCAAGGCCATGAAGATTTACACCTATGTAATCCTATAATAGCTTTATAGTTTGAGGTCTTACACTGAGGTATTTGAATTATTTTGAATTGCTTTTGTATTTGGTGGGAGTTAGGGGCCCAGTTTCATTCTGTTGCATGTGAATATCCAATTGCCATAGCAACATTTGTTGAAAAGACTATTATTTCCCATTGAGTAGTCTTAAAACCCTTGTTGAAAATCAACTCACCATACATATATGATTTATTACTGGACTCTGAATTCTATTCCTTTGATCTATATGTCTATCCTTGTGCTAGTCACACCGTCTTGATTATTGCAGCTCTGTAGTATGTTTTGAAATTGGAAAGTTTCTCTTTTGTTTCTCTTTTAACATTACCTTATATTTTCATATAAATTTTAGGATCAGCACTACTATTTTTTGTGCAAAAGTTCACTAGAATTTTGATAGCTATTGCATTAAGTCTGTGGATAAATTTGGGGAGAATTGCCATATTAAGTTTCCTGATCCATGAACATAGAATATTTTATTATTTATTTAGGTCATCTTTAATTTCTTTTAACAATATTTTGTAGTTTCCATTGTACAGGTCTTGCTCTTATATGGTTAAATTTATTCCTAAGTATTCTTTTGATGCTACTGTAAATAAAATTGATTTTCTTTATATTTGGATTGTTCATTGTTAGTGTAGAAATACAACTGATTTTTAATAGGGCCATTTATATTGACTTCTATGTGTATCTTGCAACCTTGCTGAAATTACTATTAGCTCTATTTTTAAAATTTATTTTAAAGGGTTTATATATATAACTTTGTGTTATCTGTGCATAAAGATATTTTCAGTTTTTCCTTTCTAATTTAGATGGCCCTTTTTTATTTTCCTTGCCTGATTTCCCTGATTAGATCTTCAAGTAAAATGTTGAACAGAATTGGCAAGAGTGGACATCCTTGTGTTGTTCCTAATCTTAAGGAACAATTTTAGTTTTTCAACACTAACTATGGCATTTGCTGTCGGTTATTTATAGATGTCCTTTTATCAGATTCAGGTATATTATTTGATTTTAATATGTTGAGTCAATTTAATAATCAAATTAATTATTTGATTTTCATATGTTGGGTCAGTTTTCTGTTCCTGACATAAATCCCATTTCATAATGATGTAATTTTATATTTTGTTGGATTTGGATTGCTAGTATTCTGTTGAGAAATTTTTTAACAGACTAATACAATATGATTTATTATTCTAAAGTAAATATACGGTTTATAAATATACAGGAACCTCTGATTCCCATCAAGCTCCTGGTAGGAACAAAATGGCACTCAAATTAATTTGTAGAAAAATTGGTTTCTCTTTTTTTTAAACAAAATTTTACTTTAAGTTCTGGGATACATGTGCTGAATGTGCAGGTTTGTTACATAGGTAAGTGCCATGGTGGTTTGCTGCACCTATCAACCCATCATCTAGGTTTTAAGCCCTGTATGCATTAGGTATTTGTCCTAATGCTCTCCTTCCCCTTTCCCCTCACCCCACTATAGGCTCTGGTGTGTGATGTTCTCTTCCCTGTGTTCAACTCCCACTTATGAGTGAGAACATGCGGTATTTGGTTTTCCGTTCCTGTGTTAGTTTACTGAGGATGGTGGCTTCCAGGTTCATCCATGTCCCTGCAAAGCACATGAACTCCTTCTTTTTAATGGCTGCATACCATTTCATGTTGTATATGTGCCACATTTTCTTTATGCAGTCTGTCATTGATGGGCATTTGGGTTGGCTCCAAATCTTTGCTATTGTAAATAGTGCTGCAATAAACATATGTGTGCATGTGATTTTATAGTAGAATGATTTATAATCCTTTGGGTATATACCTAATAACGGGATTGCTGGGTCAAATGCTATTTCTGATTGTAGATCCTTGAGGAATTGCCACACTGTCTTCCACAGTGGTTGAAGTAATTTACACTCCTACCAACAGTGTAAAAGTGCTCCTATTTCTCTATATCCTCACCAGGATCTGTTGTTTCCAGACTTTTTAAGGATCACCATTCTAACTGGTATGAGATGGTATCTCATTATGGTCTTGATTTACATTTCTCTAATGACCAGTGATAATGGCCTTTTTTTCATATGTTTGTTGGCCACATAAAAGTCTCCTTTTGGGGAGTGTCTGTTCATATCCTTTGCCTCCTTTTTGATGGGGTTGTTTTCTTCTTGTAAATTTATTTAAGTTCCTTGTAGATTCTGGATATTAGACCTTTGTCAGATGGATAGATTGCAAAAAATTTCTCCCATTCTGTAGATTGCCTTTTCACTCTGATGATCATTTCTTTTGCTGAGCAGAAACTCTTTAGTTTAATTAGATCCCATTTGTCAATTTTGGCTTCTCTTGCAATTGCTTTTGGTGGTTTAGTCATGAGTCTTTGCCTATGCCTATGTCCTGAATGGTACTACCTAGGTTTTCTTCTAGGGTTTTTATGGTTTTAGGTTTTATGTTTAAGTCTTTAGTCCATCTCATGTTAATTTTTGTATAAGGTGTACGGAAGGGGTCCAGTTTCTGTTTCCTACATATGGCAAGCCAATTTTCCCAGCATCATTTGTTAAATAGGGAATCTTTTCCCCATTGCTTGTTTTTGTCAGATTTGTTGAAGATCAGGTGGTTGTAGATGTGTGGTGTTATTTCTGAGGTCTCTGTTCTGTTCCTTTGGTCTATATATCTGTTTTACTACCAGTACCATGCTGTTTTGGTTTCTGTAGCCTTGTAGTATAGTTTGAAGTCAGGTAGTATGATGCCTCCAGATTTGTTATTTTTGCTTAGGATTGTCTTTGCTATATGGGCTCTTGTTTTGGTTCCACATGAAATTTAAAGTAGTTCATTTTTTTCTAGTTGTGTGAAGAAAGTCAATGGTAGCTTGATGGGGATAGCATTGAATCTATAAATTACTTTGGGGATATGGCCATTTTCACAATATTCTTCCTATCCATGAGCATGGAATGTTTTTTCATTTGTTTTTGTCCTCTCTTATTTCCTTGAGCAGTGGTTTGTAGTTCTCTTGAAGAGGTCCTTCACGTCCCTTGTAAGTTGTATTCCTAGGTGTTTTATTTTCTTTGTAGCAATAGTGATTGGGAGATAACTCATGAGTTAACTCTCTGCTTTTCTATTATTGGTATATAGGAATGCTTGTGATTTTTGCCCATTGATTTTGTATCCTGAGACTTTGCTGAAGTTATCAGCTTAAGGAATTTTTTGGACTGAGTCTGTTGAGAAATTTTATATTTATATTCATAAAGGTTATTGGTCTGCAGTTTTATTTTCTTGTGATGTCTTTGGTATCAAGATAATGCTGACCTCATAAATGAGTTATCAAATGTTTCTCTTTTATTTTTTTGAAGGGTTTGTGAAGGATTGGTGTTAATTTTTCTTTAAATATTTGGATTTAAGTTACTGTTTGGTATCCTTTATTATCAGCCTGAAGAATTCCCTTTAGTATTTTTTTTATGGTTGATCTGCTTACAGTAAATTCCGGTTTTGCTTATTTTGAAATGTCTTAATTTTCCTTCATTTTTGAAGGAAAGTTTTGATGGACATGAAATTATTGGTTGACAGTTGTTTTTTTTTTCCAGCACTCTGCATATGTCATTTCATTGCCCCCTGGCTTCCATTATTTCTTTTTCTTTATTTTTTGTCTTTAATTTTTGTGGGTACGTAATAG